CTGCGCAGCATAGCCAGAAGTCGCCGCCAGAGCAGCCTCTCAGCCGCCGTCGCTCGCTCCATCGCACTCTATCAGATGAGAGCATTTATCGTGGCCAGCGCCTTCCCTCGTTGAGCGACACCATTCCTGAACCGGCTCTCGGCGCTGACGTTCTCTTCAGCTGCTCCACCCTTCCACGTTCGCCCACCACTCGTGGCGTGCCCCTTAGACGGCCTTCCTATAAGCTGGGAGTCAAACTGCACGGTAAGCTTGAGTAGAAGGCTGGCAGCTCGCTTTATATACTGAAGACATAATTTGTTGCTGATAGTTGTTACTGTTATGCAATGGGAACTAACCAAATGCATTAGAAAATAATTAGCAGTTAAATAACGGTGCTTTGAATAAATGCAACGCAGCTCATTATGTTTTCTGCAGAACTAAGAGGTGCTTATATTTGCCAAGGAAATATTTGGTTACCATATCTCTTAATTATGTGATATGACAGCGAAGGCTAAACTTAAGTTATTTTATTTTTTTCTTGCTGTCCCCTCTTTTCAATAAAAATGCTCAAAAGTGTGGAAAAATCACCTTTCAAAACTTAATTTAACAGGTGACCTTTCGGCATCTGACACATCATTGGTGGATTTGGTGGAGCGTCATCGTGGACCTCTCCCTCAGGAGCTCATGCCCCTCCCCTCTTCAGACAGAGACAGTCCCCTCGAATGGACACACCTGGTGGACGTGGCCAATACCTTTGAGAATGAGCGAAACACACATTATGGTATAGTTCTCCTGCTTTTACTAGTAGTTAAAGCAAACGCTTGGTATTCTTTGCCCTCACGTTTCTGTCTTCTTTTAGTCCAGAGAAGTTTTGTTTTTGGTGACTCAAACCACCGGAGCGGCGGCGCCTCCAGTCCACAGCAGTCTCACATAGAGCTGAAGCCTGTTCCACTGTCACGGCCCTCGTCTAGGTACACACAACACACACACTGTAGTCTGTGTTAAATGTTCACATGGAAGATATGTGCAGCGAACACACATCACCTCAGGACTGCAGACTATCCTATTTTCCTTCATGAAAAACAAGTTCACAAAGCAAATGAGCTAAAGCCATCCAGCTGCACAGAATGAGAAATTACAAGATCCAGAGGTGCCGAGCAGGTTAACGAAGTACTGCCTGCCTGTAATGTTGCATATACTATGTGACAATGTTGGTTTGGTTTGGGAATTAGACTTTTTAAAATGAAATTGATTAACTATCAGTGCAACAAAAAGAAGTTTAACGTCTAACCAGATAATACAAGAAGCAGATGGTGTGTGTACATATATAGATTAATAACTGAATTCAGTATCCAGTAGAACTGGAATATACAGGGTAAACAAGAGTTTGTTGCTAATAAAATTCCACTTCAAAGATGTATGCAGTGTTTACTCAGGATGACTTTCTTTTCTTGCTGCAGTGAGGGACATATAGGGCTGGAGAGGAAAGTGACTAAGCTGGAGGCCATGGTGAAGATGCTTCAGGAGGACCTGAAGAAGGT